CAATAGTAAAAATTCAAAAATAACCTATTTTTAAAATGAGCAAAGGACCTGGATAGACATGTCTCAAAAGAAGACATACAAATGGCCAACAGGTATATGAAAAACTCTAGAACAAAACTCTAGGGGAAGAGCTTGATATTACTCTGGACAATGATTTTTTTAAACAAGATCCCAAGGCACAGGCAACAAAAGCAAAACTAGACAAATGGGATTGCATCAAACTGGAAAACTTCTGCACAGCAAAGGAAATAATCAACAGTATCATCTCACACTTGTTAAAATGTCTATTTTCAAAGACAAAAGATAAGTTCTGGTGATGCTATGGAGAAAAGGGAACCTTTGTGCATTGTTGGTCGGAATGTAAATTGGTGAAACTACTATGGAAAACAGTATGAAGGTTCCTCAAAAAATTAAAACTAGAACTACCATATGACCCAGCAATACCACTTCTGGGAATATATCCAAAGGAAATGAAGCCAGGATCATAAAGAGATATTTGCATTTTCATGTTCATTGAAACATTATTCACAATATCAAAGATATGAAAACAAGCTCTGTGTCCATCAAAGGACAAATGGATTAAAAATGTGGTATATATGTGCAGTGGAATAGCCTTGAAAGAGAAGGAAATCCTTCTATTTGCAATAACATGGATGAACATGAAGGACATTATGCTACGTGAAATAAGCCATACAGAGAAAGACAACTACAATACTACATGATCTCAATTATACGGAATCTAAAAAAGTTGAACTCATATGGGCAGGGTAGAACGGTGGTTACCAGGGGCTGGGTGCCGGGGAATATGGAGTTGTTACTGCTTCAGTTGTGCAAATTTCAGTTATTCATGATGAACCCGTTCTGGATATCTAATGTACGACATGGTGACTATCTATAATAATGAAAGCATAATATGCAAATCGACTGAACAACCAAACAGCAGAACGACTGTCCAGACAACCACACTATGACATGCACTAGTGCCAGGTCAGCCAAGGCAGGTGTGATGCGATTGGTTAGAGGGACCTGCTATTGTCCCATGATCGCCCCACAGAGGGAGGCCC